AAATGAATTGCCACTTTTAAAAATAAGAAGCTCTTAAATTATAAAATATTTACATATTAAAACTATTAAATAAATCTTCTAAAAAAAGTTCGTGCTCCGAACAAGAGGCGCTTAATTTTTTTTACCGATAAATTATATGTAAATTTATTTCCAATGCAAGGTTATTGACTCACTAGTAGAGACTTAAATATATTATAGATGTCACAAAATTGCTAAACAACAAATTGTTGCCAAATTAATGGCGATCTAGTTTTTCTTTGAACTTATTTCACAATAGTATAATAAATCACACAAATGCATAATGAAATATATAAAGAAAGTCCAAATAACAAAAGGAACGCCATGTGAAGTATTTATTATTATATTTATAAAAAACTGACTTTAATAATCCCTATTATATTATAAATGCGAATGTAAATCTGTCGGTCTATTACGCTTTCATAACTGAACCAATTCTAATGAAATCTGGTACATACTACATACATATATATTTATAGATTTGACCTTAGGAAAGGATATAGGTTACCACTAAAAAGTTTGAAAGGGTTGCATAAACGACAGAAATGAATTTCCATATAAAGTTTGATCAGTAACTGGGTGTATCTGACCTGATTACGCGGGCGAAGCCGCGGATAAAAACTAGTTGACTAGTTAAAAAAACTTAAATTGGTAACAAGTGTAAAAAACTGCTCTTTACATTATTAATATTTTTATTATTTATATTAAATGCTATAAGCTCCGAAGCTACTGGACCTATTCTGAAAATTCATTCACCTAGAGGAAACTACATCAAACGCGTATGTGCCTGTAGCCTGTGGCTTTATATAATTTGCGCGGGCGAAGTCGCGGGAAAAACGCTACATGTTTATAAAACAAATTATATACTCGTAATACTAAAATATCGCAATATATGTACGTGTAAGTGTGCGTACTTAGCATATACGTATACTTATATCTTTTTGTCTAGCGAAAAAAAATTTTTTTTTTCAGTCCAAACTGCTTAAAGAACATTTCTAGATTTTTAGAGAACACTTCTATTTTGTTTTTCATATAAATTAAAAAAAAAAGTCTTAATGCAACTTTTACGAGTGAATTCTCATGTAATTTCATTAACTAGATCAAGCATATAACAATTATCTATTTTTTATCACATATATTTATTATACTGGCCGAATAATAGATATTAAATGTATTTTTATCATTTATTTTAGTAAAGTAACCAAAACATTTATTTTACTGAAGCATGCTTAAAAAAAATTGCCATTTTTTTTGATATCGCAAACATTATATTTTTCTATTACACATTACACGTGTATATTTTTATATTCCAAGGCAAAAATTAGGTATTCTGATCAGGTGTTTTGCTACACCGGTAACCATTTTGAATTCCAATGGACATCTTCATAAATGGTTTAATTTGCAAAAACACAATAAATTCAATTGAAAAAGTAGTACAACTTATCTGAATTTTATTCAAAACGAAGGAGAGGGAAGCATTGATGCTTACTTAAATGTTAAATGCATTGAGGTTATTGACTTAAGTATTTTTAAAATAGCTATTTTCCCGCGACTTTAGCCGCGTAAATTATAGCCTATACAATTCCAATAAATTATTATCAAGATCATCTTTTCTTAATATAATAATCATATTGGACGAGAATTGAAGTATAATATCAATTGCTCTAACTAAAAATCTTTTATCGTACCTAGACTCACGATAGACCTATATGTTGCGCTGTGACAGCAAATGATCGCCAGTTTTAACAATAATGTCTTCATTACCTCTTCAAAGTAATGGATTTCGTTTTTGTAAGTTTCGAACTTTTCAAATTACAGATTTTTATTAAGTTGGTTAAAAGAAACGGAAATGGTTGTCTTTGGTCCTTTCCTGCTAGAGTCGCCATTTAGTGGAGGTGCTTTTTAGTGCTTTCGTTTTTTTTAATACTTCCTCCATTGTCATGAAAGTTACGCATGGTAACTCTGTAATCTAATCTACCTATCCAAAAAAAAATCTAAATCAGAATAAATGTACCTTAAATCCAATAAAAATTTGTTGAATATTATGTAAGAATATGAATATTCGTTCCCTAGACTTTGAGTTTATTGCGTATTCGCGTTCAAACAAACAGTTACAGCGGAGGGATTATGTTTTAGAAACTAGCATTCCTTATTTATACAGTGGAGGAATTTCCAAAAATTCCTTTCTTATTGCTCACTTACATCATCAAATTAACCCCTGTACCAAATTTCAAGTTTCTATGTAGAGCAGTTTCGGCTGTGCGTTGATATTAAAGTCGGTCAGGTTTGCCTTTTATATATAAATATTTAGAATCACAAACCTCTTTATATATTTCTTATTATTTCGTGTTGCTTACACTTCTGCAAATCTCAATAACTGGTCAAGTCTCAATAAAATGTGACGGTAGAGGTTCATCATAGGAAGTATTTTCATGCATACGCACACGTTCCGCTGAGTGGAGATGACTGCCTAAGCTTTTTTTAATAGTCACTCTGATTAGTTCAGTTAATTAGTGGGGTTTAGAAGAGGTAGACGTGTTAATTAACGTGATACAGTAGCGGATATGAATTTGTACGGACAATATCGTTCAACCGTGAGTAAGATTTTAACAAAATTTTGCTATTTTAGATTTTTTTATCATGTTGAGTTAAAATTAAAAAGCTTAATTCTTCTCAAATAACATGGGGGAAAACGAATGATCTGAAAGTAATTGGGGATTTGACAGAATGTTCTTATTCTGACCATGGAAAATTATTAAAAGATATAATACAATGCGAATATTAGACAGTTTACAAATTTGATGTGAAATATGTCCCTACATCCATCTAACGGTTACCATATGTTTACTCGTTAATTCATTGTTTTTGCACTTTAGCTATGGCTTTAATAATAATGAGACGAAGTTAAAAAAAAAAATCATTTTTTATCACATATTGTTCATATTATAACCAACCTGCTATTTGCAAATATATATTGCAAATATATTAAAAGATAGGATTCGATAAAAGGAGCACGAAAATGTTTAAAAAAGTGACCAAGAGGGAGCCTAGAAGGTATCGGTTTGGGACTATATCCAGTCGTGTGACTTCTGCCGTTTGTGTGAACAAGGGAGCGATTCCGTAAAAACCCGAATTCGAATTCACTACCGATATCCGAATTCACGTCATAAATTGTATAACTTCTATTGATTCCATTTTTTGTATAAAAATACAAAACAAAATTGACTGAATGTACGTCAGTTTCGAGTGACTAAATGACGTGACTTTGGACTCATGAGGGACTTCGAATTCATGTCTGGATTTTTACTGGTCTGTTTGCTTTTTCGTGAGAGACGAGAACACAGCGCTATATGCTAGAGTTGGTCTTATTATTCCTTTAGTCTATTCAAGGATGGCATATTTAACTTTTTCGCACGGAAAATGTAACGACTCAAAACTACGTATTATCAAACATAAACTTTAAAATTTCTTTAAAACCTCAACCACTTCGTCAATCTTTTACTTACTAGTTTTTCGTTTACCCAGAAATTATTCTTACCGTGGCAAATACTCGCCTGAGACAGATCATGTGACATGTGCTACTGTAAAAATAAGGAAAATAACAACTCCTTGGATATTTTCATTTCAATTTCAAGTGTGATTGCTAATGACACATCAAAGTGCATGCTCTTATCGAGCTATAAATGTATCGTTTCGTCTCAATAAAAGTTTTTTTATCCTACGCAATCGCAGGCTGAATGACTAAAATTCTACTATCCAAATTATTTTAATAAAACAAAACTTTTCTAACCAAAAGAAACCTATGAATTCAATTATATCTCGTAAATATACACTTTTTTATCGAAAAATGATAAATATTATGTCAGTCAGATTAGTGATATGAAAATAATTTCAGTAATTAAAATTATAATGTAGTTTATACAAGTTTAAAAAAATTATGGACCAGTTTCTGAAATGAGAAAAGTACAAAGTCTCAACCAGTGGCGTAGCGTGCCTTGGCGGGGCTCCGTATAAAAATTTGTTTGGGGGCCCTTATGGAGGGTACAGATTTCTCACAATCGGAAAATAAATGTTTGTTTAAATGGTTATTATTATTATTATAGACTGAGCGAATTTTAATCGTATGTACATCGATTATTGTGAGATTCTCCCGTTGAAGTAAATGACTTAAACGAAGAAAGAAATCCCGAAGTCCGCGAAAACCATGTATGGTGTTGCCAATTTTGAAACGCATGCTTTACTTGTTTTTTTTTTACTTTTGTAATTTCTGAAATAAAAGAAATTTGTGTAGTTTTTATTAATTTTTGTTTATGCACGTTGGGGGCCCCGTGGCCCGAGGGGCCTGTATAATTGATACGGCGGTAGCTACGCCCCTGGTTGTCAACTGATTATTGTTAATAACTTGAGTTATTTTACTTTTCACAAAGAAAAAAATCTTAGCTTTTATCAAATTACATCAAACTAGCAACAGATTATTAAAAAAACTAAAATCAGAAACGAAAACCTGTTTAAATGACTTTTAGATAAGATTTGAGACATGCTTAACTTTAAACAATCAATTCAGAAACCGGGTGTATGACTTTTTCTGCCGCTTACGTTTAACAAATATGTATATTAAAAAGTTAAAAAATTACAATATTTATCAAATTATTATTGATTGTTTGTGTCCCAAAATTAGACTTAATTTCTTTAAAGTTTGCATTGCGAATTATGAATTGAAACGTTATATTCTGTCTCATATCGTAAATCATGAAAATTATGAATGTCGCATACGAGGCTTGCTGTATAAATGATTTGCGAGTTTACCAATACTTATGTGTTTTCAAAGACGATTTCAGGTTATGAACTATTTAAAATGTAACTGCACTTTTACCTTAACTGCACACCTTTACAAATACACCCTTTCCAAAATTTAGATGCCTCTCCTCAAAAATTAACCGCGTATAAACAAAAAATCATAATGGGAAACTTATCTTTTTCAGATCCTATGGACCGCTTTATCCGTAGCATTAGGCTACGAACTTCAGGGTCAAATCATCAAGGGCGTGCCATGCGTTAAGAAAAACTACCAGCTTTACTGCCCTACTGCTGGGAACACATATCCTTTGTAAGTCAATTATATATTAGTTTTATCTATGTTTTTTAATTTCTTTAATATTATGGATCTCTTTAATGAAAAAAAAATACTTAAAACGTTCATCAGACCCAGGCACACCAGGATGGGACTCGAATCCATAAGCTTTCCCAATCCCGGCGACTACTCTAACCATTGTGCTACACGATGCCCAACAGGGCTAACGAATACCTTATTAGTTAATAGTAATAGTATTTTCATCAAAGTTCAGGCAATTAATGTGGTTTCTAGTCCCTGGCGGTGATTTTTATCCAATACAGTAAATTAGGGATCTATTAAAGTCACACTTGGAAACGCGAGTGTTTACCTGATATCTTGGAATAGCAGCAATGTGCTTTTGTGATACCCATTATCTAATACTAGCTCTCCGCCAGCGGTTTAGCCCGCAAGGTTTACCTTTATGTTTTCTTGAGGAATCTATAATATCCTTAAGGAACATTTTTTTAGGATAAAAAGTGGCCTCTATAATTATCCCGGCTTAGAATTATTTATATGTATACCAAACATCATAATCTGTGCAGTAGTTTTTGCGTGAAAAAGTAACAAACATACGTCCTCACAAACTTTCGCATAGCTACTAATTTAGTAAACACATCATTCTAACGTTCTACTCGTCATCAGCCTATTAATGTCCCTGCTGCTGAGGCTCAAGCCTTACCAATGGATGGAATCGAATGAAATCTAATCCGGACCCAGGGCGGATTAATGGGTATTAACGACTGCAGATGAAGCCCGAAGCAACGGCTTTTTGGTATATACAAATAAGATTGTTTGAATATAGTTTTTTAGGATGAAAAGCTCAATTGCCAGTGGTTAGCGCGTTCTCGGTCTGCGATACGATTGTTAAACAATATTCGCAAGGACCGGTAAAAAGGTCCTTGAGAAAATTGGGATTGTTGACCAAAAATTTACTATCTGAGCTCCTCCATGTTTCAGAAGGCACGTTAAATGAGAACTTATTACATATTTTGCAGAGATAAAATTGAGAACTTCATAGATGAAAATAAGGCGTTAATCAAAAGAATGTACGGCTCGTTCACAACACCCGGCGGGAGCAGAGTCCGCAGAGCCCCGGGGGTGCCGGACGTGGAGAAAGGAGACACTTATTTCGGACGTAGTGCGCGGCAGACGACCAACACGCCGTCTCCTGACACACAGTCAATCAACAGTACAGGCAGGTGAGATAAATGTTTCCTTATTTTATTTGAGTAATTGCATATAACGACTCGCGTACAAAGGATTCTGTTCCGCACATATTCATTATGCGAAATTAACAGTGTCTTAAATAAATCAATCGACTAAAATCAATAACGAGTTAAATTAAGCAAAAAATCACCACCCTTAAATATTTTTAAAATTTTAAATTTAAAGTTACTAGCGTTTACCTGTTGTCGTTATCAATAGCGGGCAAAACAATCATGCTCACTGTATCACTGTATGAGAGAGCCTTAAATATTTATTTTCTTCTGGTTTTTAATATTCATTGTTGAAACGGCAACAAAAATCTTACATCATATGTGAAACTTTCAATTGTCTAACTTTCACTGTACACTAGATACAGCCTGGTGACAGACAAGACAGTAATTTGATTTGAATTTTATAATGATATAGTAATTACGTATAATTCAAAAAATATTTACTAATGAATTTTCTATTTATATTATTTATTTTGTATCTATAAAATATAATATGTAGAATGGTTTAACCGATTTCCATTGAAATTTAATCCTGGTTAGTTTTAGTACCGCGTTTGCGTTCACTCTTGGTCGCAGCTGAAAATCAGCGTTTTGCTCGCATTGCAGGCGCGTGAATAGGTACTTGACGCTGAACTGGGACATTGTGTACTGCTGTGACGCACACACACATTTTTTTTTTCTAATGTTCATTTGTCTCATCTACATAGTTAATTATTTATTTTTCTGTTGAATGGAATGTGATGTGTGTGTATTTTGGCAAGATATAAATCATTTATCTATCTGTCTATCTAAGACAGCGAAGTTCAAGCGAAGTCTTAGTAATTAAGTTCCCATTTTATCCTTTTAGTACGGAACTTTAAAAAAGATGGCCGTTCTAAATCAACGAACGGCATTACATTGCCTTAGTATTAACTGAAATATAATACCTATTGTAAATTAGGCACCCTACCTATAGGCGATGGTAGCATTGGTAGGTAACAATTTGTTATGTTATACCGTAGCCAATGTAACAATGACTTACGTCGGAAGCATACTATTTAAATGAGACCTCACCAAAAACGAAAATTGTATGAGAGGTCGCGATTCTGGCCATAGACAATAATTCCTTTTTAGGGTTCCGTACCCGATGGCTTAGTACAAAGACGACGCTGCCCACCCATCTGTCACTAGACAGACAGTTATCTCATAAACCGCGATTAGACAGTTCAAATTTACACACACGAGTATCTAGCTGACATTACTTTGTAATTGTATAAACACTTAATGAATTGAATTTTGACATAACATGTTATTGGTTCGATTAGTTGACAATTATTTACCTACTAATATTGTATGCCTTTTAGGCAGATCACGGTGTAACTATTCAGTCCTTGTATGCAATCCAATATCTTTAGGTATATAACCTGTGATCAACGATAAAGATTGATTTGATTTGATGTGTTTCTGTTGCGGCAATTCTGTTTTCACTAGCTGTCCTCGCGTTTGGACTACGCCTCCGCTTACCATCAGGTGGAGCGCAGTCATTTGCCCTCCATTTTATATATAAAAAAAAATAGTGGGAGTTCCATACAACAAACGAAATTCTTTCCTCGATTCCGGTAGAGAACCCCTCGTGCGTAGATCCCACTCTCACTTGGTTGATTTTTAAATCTACACAACACACATCGAATGTCGTTAGGTGGCATCACTACATAGTATAAAACAAAGTCGCTTTCTCTGTCCCTATGTCCCTATGTATGCTTAAATCTTTAAAACTACGCAACGGATTTTGATGCGGTTTTTTTTTTCATAGACAGGTTGATTCAAAAGGAATGTTTTTATGTATAATACAAGACCACGCGGGCGAATCCGCTTGTGGAATTTGTTTATAAAAATTAAGAGTGTGCAAGAGCCTATTAAAATAAAATGAGAAAGAAAATGAAAATATTTTTCTTGAATTTGAACTCATAGCTTAAATAACAGCTAGCTGACAAAAAAACATGGCATCACACTAATTTCCAGTGATTTTGATATTATACAACATTACCTAATTTAAAGTTCAAAAACAATAGCAAAGTATAAACCAGTTCGACAACTTATCAATTCTGGCCTTGATGATTCATCAATTGTGATTGTGGCAAGCTTCAAGTTTTTTTTTTTAATTAGCTCATAATGTATCGTTGTCGTCCATATAACATTTCATTTGTATTATAGGATAGACGCGTGTGAAAGCAAGACGGAGATTATGACGCCATATTGGGCACTCAATTCGGCGAGGAAGCTAAGAGCTATCGTGAACACTATGCACTTCGAGCAAGCGATACATCAGGAAGTCTGCAGGCAAGTATCAATATGATAATTAGGTCATCATCATCATCAGCCCTTTTACGTCCCCACTACAGGAGTTCAGGCCTTCCTTATGGATGGTTAAGGAGGATGGGCCATGACCCTCCACGCTGGCCCAATGCGGATTGAAGGGTATTAACGACTGCAAATGCAGCCGGGACCAACGGCTTAACGTGCCTTCCGAAGCACGGAGTAGCTCGAGATAATAAAATTTTTTTGGTCACCCATCCCGTGACCGACCCTTGCGAAAGTTGCTTAACGTCTACGATAACGGGCCGCGGCGCTAATCCACTACGCCACCGAGCTACGATAATGAGTTACATTTAATAAAAACATTGTCTTAAGAACCTTGTGTTGTTTTCGTAAGGATCGGTTACGGGGTGGATGACCAAAGAAATATTATTTCGAGCTACTCCGTGTTTCGGCAAGCACGTTAAGGCGTTGATCTCGGCTGTATTTGCAGTCATTAATACCCTCCAATCCGCATTGGACCAGCTTGGAGGTTCATGGCTCATCCTCCATAACCTTCCATAAGGAAGGCGTGGGCCCCTGCAGAAGGGACGTAATAGGGCTGATAAAGATTATTATAAAATATTAGCTGTTTAATAAGGGGCCCGCAACTTCACTTCGCCCGCATAAATTATAGCCTACTAGTGGACGCCCGCGACTTCGTCCGCGTGGAAGTCGGTATCCCGTGGGAGTGAGAAGTTTTCCCAGTAAAAAGTACCCTATGTGTTATTCTGATGTATAACCTATATTGCTGTAAAGTTTTATCCAAATCCGTCCAGTAGTTTTTTCGTGAAAGAGTAACAAACATCCATACATCCATACTTACAAACTTTCGCCTTTATAATATTAATAGGATAGGATGTCACCAGCATATGATGTAGCTTCGTAAGTGAAATTTCAAAATCAGTCCAGTAGTTTCGGAGAATATTCAATGCAAATAAACAATTAAATCCTTTCTCATTATAATATTAGGTAGTATACACACGATGTAATTTATCTATCAAGATAGGAATGCATTTGGATTAGTTTAATTAGCCACTCTAAATGTTCCCAACTTCCCACTTAACTCCAAAACCGTTGATCAGATGTATAATGAAAAAAAATTGCAGCAAATAATCATATTTAAATCTAAAAGCAAGGATCTTCAATAAACCCAAGGAATGACGTCGGCCGCTATTGCCCTTTCCATTCATTACGTTTTTAGCCAGTTTTTATGCGCCTTAAAGAATGTGAATGAGTCAAGCGATCTGATAAAAATGCAAGTTTCATTAGTAGGTATTCCCCTGATATATAGATATATGACGTATTCGTACTTTCTTTTTTTTAGTAGAGGGATTATTGAATGGGTTTTTGATGTTACTTAATAGACCGAGAGCTCATGTACAATATGTACAATTTCTTTCTAAAGCTTGATAGTGTAAGACACATTTTGCTATTAATTTGATATATTTAAAATCGCCATGTCGATTGTGTCGATTCCAATAGATAGTTTACAAGAATAACAACCCGAAAGTACATTGGCGCGAAACTGATCAAACGTCAAAGTGAAAACGACAGCGACAGCTTACTGACCGATAGGGATATTCAAAATGCAGAGTTTATAAAATATCAAAACATGAATTAATCTGAGCGAAACACTGGTTTCTGGCGAAATCCACAAGGTCAACGCCATTAATTAAAAAGAAGAAGAAGAAGAAGATAGGGATACATCTTAGCCATAAGGCCGAGATGACTGTAGTGGAATCAACAACAAGTGATGCCAGTGAGTGATCCTCTAACAATAGGTATTTCGATATGTTGAATTACCGAGGGCATACATCACTCGGTACCCAGAGCTTAAGTCACGTGCTGGTACACCTTATGGCGGGTGTAACAGAGCAATGTAAAGTACAAAAATCATAATACACAAAATGTCAATTAGAATGTCTCAATGAAGAAGTATTTAAAAAAGAAATTAGTTCCCGAAATCAAACTAGATGTCGCTACGGTACTTTCTTGATTTCTCCATGACAACCTTTCCTGTTTTCTTTCATGCATAAAAGTAAATTAGTTTTCAAAACTCAATAAACAACTTAAATTCTATTTGTACTTTTTCGTATTTGTATCGATATCTAAGTTTCGAACTTTGCTAATTTCAGTTTTTTTTAATGTGGTTAAAAGGAACGGTAATGACTACGTATCTTTGGTCCATTCGTTTCCTGCAAAAATCAACTTTTGCTAGAGTCGCCATCTAGTGGAGATGCTTTTTGGTGCTTTCTTTTTTTAAATATACTTCCTCATTTGTAGGCTCCAACTGATCAGTAAAGACGAAAGAATGTTATTCAAAACTATTTTAGCCGTTCAGTAAGTCTACAGCGATCAAAATCAATGGAATCTATTAAACGACATTATCTTAAATTTTATTTTGTTTCGGTGTTTCATGACGACATTATTTATAATTTTCCAGTAAGAAGACGACGAACAGATGTTCCGGCGACTGCGGTTGCGAGCAGAAGTACAAATGGCATCGTCTTTTAGCATACGATCCGAACGACGATTGCGCCGGAATATTCATGGATTGGTTCCTTTTCCCATCATGTTGTGTTTGTCGGTGTAATCCATAGAATCATAGATAATGTATTCACACTAATATTTCCTGATAGTTACCGCTAGGGGCGCTGTACAAATATATAGCGCTGTAGTTTAGTTAGGTACAGCCACGTCTAAAATTATATTTGTTTGTCTTCGTAATAAGAGTGTATTTATAGTATCACATGACGATTTCACATTTTTATTTCTTAATTTTCTATTACACAGTCTAAAGCACGTTAATACATATGGATATGATAAATTTATCAATTTAGTACATCTCCATTAGGTTAAATAGACTGGCGTCAATATTGAGAAAGTATTATTCGCCTACCTAGTCTTATAACATTTTACATATGTCTAGTATTAATACATGATTTCAAAGCGTGGATCCTCAACAAAATAAACTTTTATCTTCTTCTATCTTACTTCTCAATTTTATCTATGACAGATTTCTTTTTTATTCATTCGCTAATTTTCATTTATGACATTTAAAGAGTTATTTATGCAAAAAATTAATGAAACTATGAATGTCTAGTAAAATGACATATTAAGATATTTGTTGAAAAAATTCTTAAATATATATTACTTATTTTTAAGATAATTTCACTAATGTGAATATCAAATGATTAAGAATATTTGGAGAAATTCGTGTAAATTTTAAGTAACTATCTCATATCATTAATAAACAGAGCATGCATAATTTAATATAGATTGTGTGTATCTTACTTTTATATGATATACTGATTATAAAAATCGAAAGTATATTTTAAATTTATATTGTTAAATGTTTTTCACTGCCATTGTACAGTTATTACATTTTAATATTAATTAAAAGTAAACTAAAACTGTGACATAAAAATGATACAGCATTAAATATGAGAAATTATAAATTATTGACAAAATTATTAAGTATTGTTTCATTCATTATAATTATGCTTATAATTAATTTCGACTAGTGCATAATAATAACAATGCTGTAAATATTTTTAATGACATTAATATAAATTTATTCAGATAGTACCTATAATTTTTAAATTAAATAAGAAACTTCCAACATTTGTTGCGAGGCTAATTTTAACTTGAGTAATAAATATAATGCTAAAGAAGGCTTAGAAACCACGACTTTTATCTAGCATAAAATTAAATCGATTTATATAAAAAATAAGGTAATACTAACAATTAGTTCATACTTTAGTTTATAATAGGTATACCAATTTACTTAATATATTTATATCATACGGAAATAAATTAAGTCTTGATTGAAACAATTGTTTTATTTACAGAAAAAATATACAACTATAAAATCACATACAGTTTTAGAACTGATTTTTTTGTCTATGACAAAATGTTGAGATTATATTATACACTATTATACATTATTTTTTAATTACAATCCTATACTCACGACTGCACCACGCTCACTGGTGGAAAACATTAATTCAATCCTTTTTCTCTTTGGATTTAAGTTGTTCAAATTCTTTGAAAACCTTATCGCTTAATTTATCACCTTCATCGTCAATTTGTTCCACAGCTAACACCTCGGGGATGTAGAACTGCATCATATTTTGTACCTAAAAAAATGACAAAAATAATTCAAACATGGTTCAAGAATCACATTTAGACATCAAAGGGGCACAAAGTTAATGGTGGTTAGCACTTGCGTTGTGCCATGCGGAGATTAAGCAACTTTTACAAAGGCCTGTCATAGGATGGGTCACCCTTCGTATTACCGGAAGATGCGTTAAGCTATTGGTCCTGGCCGTATTTGCAGTCGCCAAAACTCACCAAACTACACTGGGCTCGCATGATGCATTCTCCCTATTCGATTCCATTCACCTATAGGGAAGGCCTGAAACACATCACTAGGAACTAAAAATTAATAGGCTGATGATGATGATCTCTTAATATACTCAGCCAGCAACTGCTTTTATTGATTGTTTAAAAAAAACATAGTGTCTGTTATTGATGGTCTAAAAAAGTCCATTTTACTTACTCCATTTTTCAGTGTAACTATTGAACTAGGACAAGATGAACACGATCCTTGCATCTTAAGAGTCAACACTCCATCTTTGAAATCTACAAATAGTACATCACCACCGTCTTCTTGTACTGTTGGCCTTATACGTGTGTCGAGTAGCTCTTTGATCATTTGTACAATTTCATCGTCATCTTCATTAATTTCTGTAGTAGATTATTAAATATAGTAAAAAGTATTTGGCAACATCGAGGAAATATTTTAAGAAAAAAATGAAAGCACTAAAAAGAACCTCATTATATGGCGACTCTAGCAAAAGTTGATTTTTGCAGGAAACAAATACACCAAAGATTCCATTACTTTTAACTAACATATTATAAAACTGAAATTTGCAATGTTCGAACCTTAGATATCAATACAAATACGAAAAGTACAAATAGAATATGAGTTGATTATTGAGTTTTGAAAATAAATTTATGTTTATACATGAAAGAAAATCGGAAGGGTTGTCATGGAGAAATCAAGAAAGTACCGTAGCGACATCTAGTTTGATTTCGGGAACTATTTTTTTTTTAATATATTTATTTGTTGATGTACAATTGGACATACACACAGAAACACAGCAGGTTTCAAAGAGCAAATGGTTGCAATCAATTTTCAACTATATCAACAGAGAGACTTAAAAGTCAATTGTAGAAATTTTACACACTTAACCCTTACTAAAAATAAACTTACAGCCTTTGTTTAGTTACACATAGTTCTGTTCACATAATTTTTATGTGACTCATTGAATAAAAACTTTTAATAAATAGTAAAACCGACTTCAATCTTTAAAGAAGTGATAAATAATACTTTCCTCCTTGAAATATGAATATAGATTTTAGAAAAAAATAATATTTAATATTTTAATTGTTATCTATTATATAACAATTTCAATAGCACTAAAAAGCATGACATAATAAAAAGTAGATTCAACTTAAGGCTTTGAAAAGCGATAAACAATACTTATCTCAAAAGCGACTTATTCGCGAAAATGTTATTGATGACGGGCGCCTAATATTTGATTAATAATGATTGAATAACCTACAGAAAACCAAAGGTCAAATAGTTAACACTTTTATGATGGATATCTGAAACAATGGGGCTACCACAATAGATCAGACGTGAACCAATATAGAAAAGTTCATTTTCCACATCCACCCAACCAGAAACTGAACCCGAGAGATGATGACATATTGAAACCGGGATACAGGTTACTCTGTCACGAAGGTCATTATATATGTCTTAAGATTTAAAAAAAAATGTATTAAAAAGAGAAAAAGACAGTCGCACATAAATTGACTATGCCCAAATGCATTGATAATGATCACCTGATCAAGATGGATAAACAAAGGAGAGCAAACATCCAGTTGATACCAAGACAAAAATACTCCCAATAAAATGGGGACCATAACAAGAGATCATAAAATACTATGAGAACAATATGCTTTTGTCTGTCAATATCCGATGTCTATTATTATTTACTTCCCTCTTAATAATAAATAGACATGAAACTTACGTGTATCTCCAGATGGCTTTGCATCAGTCACAACAGGGAGACCGCTAGCAAAGAAATCCATTATAGTTGCAAATATCTCTGGCTTTAAAATTTTCCACTCCACATCATCATCTTGCTTAGTGACAGTTATAAAATCAGGTCCAAAGAAAACAGCTTTTACTCCTTCAATTCTAAAAATCATTTTTGCTGAAAAAAATAAAAACATAATTGCTTAAGTTCTCCTTGGACTGAATTTATATTTATCAAATCGGAATAGTTAATAATAATATCTTTATTGTTAAAAGAAATTAATGAGAACCAGGACCACATCTAGAAATATTGCCACTGCCGGAAGTTTTCCATTCACAAAGTGCTGGGAAAACTGCCAGCCACATTGGGAATATTATCAAAACTGCTTAGTAGATTTTGTGTCATATTATGTATAGAAAAAACATTTATTTTCTAAACTTTAGACTAACTTTAGAACAAAGGTTTCTTGACACCTTTGAACAGCAGAATCAGTGGATATATTAGAAGAAATTAATTGACCATTTGCATAAATTATAAAGATAAGATATATCAGGTCTGGTATATTTATAATTGTCCTAATATTATTACATAGGACATAAGTGCTATCTATGTTATGTCCTTCCTATAAACTTTTAAGCTTTCACGTTGCATTATATTAGATTTTATAAGACCTTTTCACCTACGAGTGAGCGAGACAGCGAACCCTATGAGAGAGACCTTGGTTTCTTCAATTTAGATGTCTAATCGAAAAATGCGACAAATATATAATTATATGTCGAGATTTATAGTAAAAAAAACTCACTTAAGCTAACAAAACAATTATCAATTAACCATTTTTTAAGGTTTTGTTAAAATTGGTTAATTTTTACCATTTTAATATCTTTGGCACTTTATTATACACTCTTGCAGCTATCAAATGACCATTTCCAGAGCCTAGGGCTGTCTTCATTGCTGGGAGTATAAGTTTATCAGGACACCTAAAATGTATGGCTGAGGAACATTATACAAACAGGGAAACCATTCTGGATGACTCCTGACAAAGACACATATTTCAAATATATTTAAACATGTTATAATCAAAATATTTAGTGCCTTAAATAAAGGCCTACATGAGACTAAAACATCTACGTCGCATATGGCATGGATGCATGTATTTTGAGCAATGAAGAGTCTGCTTGTGTGGCATGACTTACCCCATAAAACAATGCCATATCTCAGAATTTAGCAAACATTTCTATGGTAGACCTGTAGGGGGAGTTATTAGCTTGTGGTTTTTCCCAATTTCCACAGCACATATACATGTGGATTATTTTTTTGCATTATTTATTTCAAATATATTTAAACATGTTATATTCAATATATTTAGTGCCTTAAATAAAGGCCAACATAAGACTAAAACATCTACGTCACATACGGCATGGATGCATGTATTTTGAGCAATGAAGAGTCTGCTTGTGTGGCATGACTTACCCCATAAAACAATGCCATATCTCAGAATTTAGCAAACATGTCTATGGTAGACCTGTAGGGGAAGTTATTAGCTTGTGGTTTTTCCCTATTTCCACAGCGCATATACATGTGAATTATTTATCAATGTGTTTTCCCATGTGCACTTATTGTCGATTGTTATCCCATTAAACGTGACTGCCTCGGTCTCTTTGATATGCTGGCCATCATGCAATCTTTCCATGTTTTTCTTCTATCCATTCTTTTTTTAAAGCCTTGCCTTTTATGGCCTTGTTCCTTTATGCACAGAAATTCTATGGCTTTTATTTTCTCAACTTTGACAGCTAGGTTATTAGTATAAATGTTGTAGCTAATTTGTACTAAGTGCCACTGTTGTGTTTATGTCTTGATTAATATTTTTATTGAAAAATGTTGAACAAAAACACCAGTGCCCATCATCCAATTGTTTGGGTAGATTCTTTTTTTTTTTTCGAACTGTAAAAATTGAGTGTGGAATTTAAGATATTAACAAAAAATAATATCTTACCTAAAGGGCTACATTGTGCTGCACCAATATTAGGAAAATCCATAGTTTGTCCTGGTTCTAAAACCTTAGTCCCGGGCATAAACTTCAGACTATTAGGGTTAGGAGTATCTTGTGTCTGTATAAACATATTGCGACACTGGCATAAATAATTCGGAGTTTTTTTCCTGTACGTACATTCCTGGATTCTTTGTAGACTACTGAAAGTTCTTTTGTCAACAAAGCTAAAAATAATAAGACCGTAAATATCATGCCAATTACATATAATTACAAATTAAATAGGTTACTGTTACCGAAACACATTGTTGGGAAGTAGGCGACTACCACAATTAGTTTTTTGCAATAATTTTAGTGAATTCCTTAGCATTTTAATTTCTTTTCGCTCTCTGGTTTTTAGTGGTGAACCTAGGTGACGTTGTATTCCTTAACTCAAATCAATACACACAAGATAAATTAACAAACAAAAAGATAAATTTTTATTTTTCCTTTTAATTATTGGCTTTGCCCGCCCATTGAATCTTATGTTTCAAAGAAGAGAAATTAGACAAAAAATATGTCGTGAAATAACATATCTGAAATAAACAAACAATCAAAGAGTAGAAACAATAGTAGGGATTAGCGATGGGCGATTATTACTTCAAAAAATTGAATTAATCGATTGTTCAGATTAATCGATAAAAGTTGATTACAATTGATATTATTCGATTGTTGTTAACAACTAAACCTTGCGGCGGCAACGGGCGGCTATGACACGCTGCAGTTACCGTAATTATTTATTTGATTAATTTCTAGCGCTGTGCGCTGCGCTCCACTGCAGCTATTATGTGATTGGCGCTAATACGTTATTAAGTTGTCTGTTTAGTAGTCAATCCACTGATTTGAGGGCACATCCATTCGATCGTCGCAATGTAGTTGTTATTTATCAACACTATCGAGCAATGAATAATGTTGAAATATCATACAAACAAACCTTGAAATGTACCATCGCTAACCTATTACATCTTTTTAGGGTTCCGTACCGAAAGGGTAAAAACGAGACCCTATTACTGAGACTTCGTTGTCCATCCGTCCATCCATCCGCCCGTCTGTCTGTCACTAGGCTGTATTTCATGACAGTTAATGAATAGTGATAACAAGACAGTTTAATTTTTCACAGATGGTGTATTACTGTTGCCGCTACAATATAAACATTTAATGGGGCTCTCATACAACAAACGTGTATTTTTGTTTTTTTTTTTGCTCGTTTCTGATACGGAACTTTTCGTGCACTAGTCCGATTCGCACTTGACCGGTTTTTTATGTATTATATTACTTCTCTTTCTTGTTATAAATAATAATATAAATACCAAGTAATTACTAATAAAGTAAGCAAACAATCAACGCAACACCATAATACTCCGCGCAGTTAACCGACCGCACGCGCATAGCACAGAATCACATAGTGTGCGTATAATTAATAGTTAGTAGTTAAAACGATTGTTATACGAATAATCATGGGTAGGAAACTACTAAAACGACAATCGAATGCGCGGTAGCACAATTTTCGATTCAGTCGATTATTTTTATGCAACAATAACTCATCGCTAGTAGGGATCACAGCAGGGATTGTTAGTAAGATTGGGAAAAACTATCGATATATCAAAATAGCTATATTTTTCTAAAAAAAATCGATATAAATCGTCGATATTATTTCTCGTGATATATCAGTTTTTGATATTTATTTTCTGATATCAAATTAGTATCAAAATCGATAAATTTTTTAAATTTCTGCTGTCTTCCCATGCACCACATCATGTATTTCTTAAATTTAGAAAAAAAGAAGGTAGGCAGTAGGCTGTATGAGTTAAGTCTGTCTATAAAGTCATGAAAAAAATTGAGGGCGCTGCGATCGTGCACGTAGCAACCCTGTATAGTGAGACAAATGATTTTGATAGAAGGATTTTCTTTATTTATAGTAAAATAAACCGGATATTTTTTTTTTACTTTTATTACCCCAGAAAAGGTAAAGAAAGGCGTATAATTCGTAGACAATGAGTTTATTCTACATTGAAGATTACAATATAGTAATCGTAATTTTTGATAAATCTTTTTTTTTATAATTGCCAAGTTGTTTTCTCGTTTTACTGCAATGTGTGCTTGTGTTTGATTAAAGCCTGTTACTTTGACACGCCTTGTAAGAAAACCCAATCTATTTCAGAATTTAACGCAGGACTTCTAGGCTACAATTAAAATCCAGATCGGTTTTGGCAATCCACTGATGTTTTCTTCATGTAGGTACCTCTTTTTTTCACAGAGTAAAAGAACTGAATCTTTTGTCGAAGTGCACAAATGTTGCAGTTAACCATTTATTTCTTAGGACGACTATCTATGTTTCCCAGGGTTTCAAATATGCCACCATTTTTATAGCCTTCATCTACAATACGTATCACTATATTCTCTGATTTTCCTGAAAGTAAGTTTTAAAAATGTAATACCTATAGGTATTTGGCAAAAAGAATGGAATCGCCACAATGATCAAATTAATGCTATAATTTTAGTAATATAAAGCACAAACTTTTTATTGGCGTACGTAGGTAAAAATCGTACATTCCTAACAGGTATATTTTTTATTCAGATAAAATCAATGATAAATTTGGTTATCCAAAAGTATTAAAAGTTCGGGCCGCACTACAATATAGCCTTCTAACATTTTCAATCTAACCTATAAATGTATAATGTAAACAATACTTATTTTAGACTTAAATTCATATATTTAGTAAATTTGAAACTTCTGGTAACCAAAACTCAATCAGTAACACGATTACATACCAGTCATAACTGCCGTTCGAGCTTTAACATCCTGCAAATATGATAAAATGTGTCCAGCTTCTTGTTCCAATAAACATCACTGAAAAATCTTTATAAATTATATCCTGAGCTTCACTCCGATTAATATCTCTTCATTTCTAACACTTTTCTACGGAGTTTAGAAGAAGTAGCTTCAGTTTAATCAAAACAAGATCAAACAATGCAGAAAATCGAGCTAAAAAATCAAGTTGTTGACAGTCGATGTACTTTGTTTCAGTGTTGTCATACTTGTGTCTAATGTTAGTTCCTCAAACATTCTTTTCATGACTTTATAGACAGACTGTAAGTCTATGTCTTTTTTTTTGCCTATGGCAATGACACTGCTTGTTGGTTTGGTTGGTATCACTGAGTGTGCTCCTGATGTCAATATCAGATAAATATTCGTTTGTTTGATTAATGTAATTTTTGTTGTGTTGATGATGTTGTTTTCTTGGCTATATGTACCTATTTTAAATAATAAATAAACCTGATGTCAAAACAGCCAGGTGTGTATTTGCTTCAAAATTTCGAATATTTTGAAATTTTTTATTGATAATCGCTTATTACGCAGAAAATATCGATATATCAACATATCGATATATTTTTGTAGATATTTATCGATACATTTGGAATATATCGATATTTTTTTCCATTTGTCTATCCCTAATTAGTAGGGAACTAAAAAAAAACGATTATTAAAAAACTTTTTTTTTACTATGAGATAGAATTAAAAAAATACATTAGTTCCCAAAATCAAACTAGATGTCGCTACAGTAAGTTCTTGATTTCTCCATGACAACCTTTTAGGTTTTCTTAAAATTTTTAAATATTTATTTAAATATTTAACTTTAGCTAGAGTTTAGTGCTTTCTTTTTTTTTCTTAAAATATTTCCTCATTAACCCCACTCGGCTACGTTTGTGCAAAGTGCAACGTAAAATGCCAAGTGGTGTAAATAGACGTCCAATTGGGCGGCTAGCCCTTCAATTAAAGGCGGCATTCTTTTAACGGGTTAACCTTTAAGCAGCTGAGCAGCTGAATGGTCGAACGCATCATTCTACGATACGGCTGAACAAAAGTCAGCCAACTAATTAATTGTCAATTCATCGGGCATACCGAATTTTATTGTTAGCCATTGGTTGTAACCATTTTTTCGGGACTAGGTGTTAATAGTCTGTATGATCCAATACAGGATGCTTACGTACACACCAATACCGCAAGTGAGTTTATTTTAAACTTTCATAGTAAATTCTTAATACTAATACAATTATAGAAAGATAAAATGTATCGCCATTCAAACGGCCACAGCACCATCTATCGGTTCAAATGTCATAATGATTCAACTAGAAAACTAGGCATGCAGTTTAATGGCCCCATTCAACTGAATGGCTCGCTACCCAATTAAGCGGTTGATTTACCCAGTTGGCTGCCACATATATTTATAAAAAAATCTAAGATCAGAAAACACGTCATATCTTCATAATTAATTTTATCTTAATAATAACTCAGCAGTCAATAAAAAACGTCAATTCGAAACGAACAGCGGAATACTTTAAATTTAACAATTTCAAACACACGTAATAGTTATGAAACTATCGCTACTGAATTCGCATGGGGACGACAGAACGTTGTATAGGGTAACATGGGAAGTAAAGAGTTTTGAGCCTGATGTTATGTTAATATGTACGGTGTTAGTTAGTGCTTATTACGTGTTTCGAATAATATTGAAAATTTTTGTAATATGTTACAGTATATCGGTATCGTTCGACATAAGCATGCATAATGGAAACTCAGCACATAAATAACAAGCTGTGGCGACTGATATGTAGCGACATCTAGTTCATCGCACTGACATCGCCACAACAATGAGGAAGTATTTAAAAAAAATAAAGAAACTACTAAAATTTATGTCACTAGATGGCAGCACAAATTGTTGGATCTAAACGTCAATTCATGACGTTAAACCAAAGAGAATAGAATTGTCAGTGTTGTCATGGATCTGATAACTCGGATTAATATCGTGTTGAAATTTAACTACTTTTGTTTCTTCTTCGATAAGCCATTAATTAAAGAAGAAGAAAGAAAAGTAAAGAAATTTAACTAGTAATTCGAGTTATGCAAAAGCAACTCGAATAATACAAAGTAATCTTTGAATATAATTATTTTTTATTTGTATAGAGAAAAATGGAAACTAACATAATGGAAGTGAGCACAGAGGTTTTTTAAATTTACTGAAATCAATTGAATTAATGCTGTGATATAATTAAAAGTGGCATTTAGCTACGGTATACAATAATATTACTGCCAAATAGTTTTTATAAATAAAATAGGTACTTATACCATAGTAGGTCTAGGAATTTTCATTATAATATTTAACAAAAGTTCTGAAAATAATAACAACTAGGTAAATTAATTTTATTGCTATAAGTTGTTTGTTGAACTTATAGCAACAAAACTTCATCAAGTCTCAATAATATTTTTATATTGTGTATGGTGAATGGATGAATAGGGTTTATTAATCAGCAACAAAAGTCATGAAAACGATAATTATAATAAAAAATCCGTTTATTATCTATATACTACCCGTGTATCAAATATACTATGTATTCGTACAAAATAACATGACTGCTGGCTAAAATGACGTTTGTGCAAAGTGTAATGTGCAAATAACTTGTGCTTTCGAAATTAAGACTTTAAAAAACTATGATCAGTTATTAAGTCTTATATTCATAATTAAATCATCTAAATAAACATTCAGCAATCAACAAGAAACGTCTGTTCTAAACGAACAGCAAAGTTATAACTTTAAATTTTAAAATCACAAAGACTCGTACAGTTATTATACTATTGCTACTGATCTTGCATGTCGACGGTGGACATCGAGCCATGTGTTAAGTTGAAAATCGTGTGCGTTATGTGGTTACGTTCCCTCAAATAGAGTATAGTTGAGTTGTATAGTTGAAATTAAAAAACCAGCCCTTGCTGAGTTTCTTGCCGATTCTTGTCAGTACGAGATCTCCCGCCTTAGTTTTGCGAACCATTGGTAAAGTTTTCGACTTTCACAAGTACTATGTAACAGGCTTAGACTGCATTGATTTTGATATTTATATTAATATCATTCGTTTTGTTGATGCATAATGACACTTCATCTTCATCATCATTTTTTTCTTCATTCCAAAACTGAATTCGAATGAAAATTACGAGCAACCAATAAGTTGGCTCATCACTAATGTTGACGTATCAACCAAACATTGTTCCTTTACACGTAACATAATAAACAACTTAAACTTACGATTAAAATAAATTAAAATTAGTTTGAAAGTTAGATATTATAAGAAACACAAAACGATGTCATATTTATTAATTTTCGATACTCAATTTACTTTTATTGCGTCAGAAACAAAATTTGAATGAATATCATAAACAAAATCCGAAAATCGCGAGTGACATCTAGTATGATTTCAAGAACTAATTTTTATTTTTTAAATACTTCCTCATTGTTAGCGAGAAGACTAGCATCGTTACAGCAATCGATAGCAAGACGAACTGCAAGAAGTTTCAACACCCAGTAATGAGATTTCGTTGTACCAATACAAACATTATAAATTCAAGGCATTTAGAACCAAAAAACCTATATCGCACAGAATAAGTTTCATTACCAATTTACATAAATAGAACGTCCAACCTACATCGGTTGGACCGCATTCCCCGGGCTAACAACACCTAGCTCGGAGGGAGATAATTATCCTTTAGTCTCCCTTGCCAGTTGTCTCCATCATCACTGTCAGGACCCAACCATCAACCTAATGGTTCCTACAAAGCTGATTTCTGCGCTCAGCTTTATGTTCTTCATTTCAAACCCGAAATTGGCTGAATCAAGTCAATTAAAGCTGTAGTTTTTGTGTATATAAACAATGTAACAAATAAAGGACTGTGCAGTAAACGTATAACATATGTTATTAATAATTATTTATTTATTTTATTAATATTTAAAGAAAGATAAAAATAACTTAGCAACCAAATACATAGTTATCTCTATGACTGGATGTATCGGTATATAAACTTTATTTTTAAAATTAATTTGAAATTTGGATATGATACGTAACACCAAACAATGTCATATTTATTAAATTCGACACTCAATTTGTTTTTGACATTTATAAATCGTTAGTGACATCTAGTTTGCTTTAGAGAATTGACTTTTAATAACTAACTTTAAATAATAATAAATTACTTTATTTCTTGAATGTACTTATAAATGAAAAATTGCATTTGCAAATGGCGGTAAGTGAATTTGTAAGGAAACGTCAAGTGTGGGTTTACACTAGGCGCTGTTGCTATGGCGAAGATTTTGTTCTTTTCTCCTTCAATACTTTTTTCCGTTTTCTGCGCAGGGCTTCCCTTGTGAGTACACTGAACAATGAAAATTATATTCATTCAAAAAATCGGTCGATCGTAGTTTTAGTAAATCGATTTTCGAAAAGATCGAGTCGTACGGCGCTTAGTGCATTTGTAGCGCATACCCTCTTTCATTCATTCAAAATTTTGTTTATCTGGTGTTTTAGGAACGTCGTTTTCAACAACGGATCAGTGTTTCTTATTTCTGATTTAGTTTATTCAATAAGACCAGATTGCAATTAAAAGGTAAGAACATTATTATTTCATCATTTTTATTACTTAAACCCAAAGACTTCTATGTTTTAATCACCACAACAATTTTTTTTCAAGTTATTCATTTTCTATCGTTGATAAGTAGGTAGCAAAACCAAATTTTTATACTATGAAAATGTTGAAAAGTTGTCCGTTCTCGTACGTACCAAACACAAATGGTGTTTAGTACAACTAAAATTAATTTTGAGTAAAAAACGCAAAGCAAAATACCTACCCATCAGTTTTGCAAATAAGGTTAGCAACATATTGATGACAAAGTTTTAGTCTATTTTCATTGATAAAGGTAAATTTAAAGGTTACAGAGATTATAATTTGTGTTAACTTACTGTTATGGTCTCCTGAAAGTGTAGGTTTTGACCTTCACTTCCATGCTCTCTTGTCCATGTCTCGCTTAATTCAGTTCTGTCCAGCTATTTTATACAATTATGTTGAATAATTTGTCTTCAATAGTATTCAATACTGTGCACTGTTTCTGTTTGGAATATGTTATGCAGTCCAATTAGTCTAGTTTTTCCCTTACAAAATTTTTTCCTGTAACCAAAACTTCCTTGATGCTTTGCTATGCATTGCTTTTTATTCTATTACTTCACTTTGAGTTTATTGGTGAAAGGTACTTGTTTAGCCCCAGTTAATATTTGACTGTTGGTATTTTATACACATTTAGTCTCAATTTTTCCTTGTCATTTGAACTGAATATTTGGGACTACAGTGAATTTTAATCATTTTTATATTAATATTAATGATGTATATTGTTTCTAGATAATCATGGACCCTAGTAAGGGACGTGGTCGAGGCTTGGCCTTGCTTCAAGCATTAAAAAAATCTCAGATGATGGATTCACCTCAACAGCCTGAAGAAGTATCACCTGAGGTGACTCCAGGACCTAGTGTTGCACCAAGTGATGTAAGGAATAATAATAATAATAGTAAACTACGTATGAAAGGAAATCTTTTCATGACAAGAAGCTTGACTCCCAGTTTCCATTTTGTCTCATTCTTTGCTTGGATCTAAATAATCTGAAGAATTTTGCATGTCAACATCACATTACTCTTTGAAAATTTAGTTATAATAAAAATGTCTCTCAATATATTTCTGGAATGCTAAAATAAGTAGTTTCCGTAGACATTTCAAGTAATCAAATTTCAGAAATTGTACTATGTGTGTAATGATTAGTGATGTCCATGCCCGGGTATATTGCCAAGGACTGGAAAGTTTGCTGGGAACAATGCGGGCAGCATTCACAAATCTGAAAATGAATGGGAGTATTGGATAAATCTTCTATATTTATGAAATATATTATGTTGATTTATTACTATGTACTAGAAACGAAAGTAGGCATTAAAATGGCTTAATAACGAAAATCCCAGACAGCTGCCAAAGGTCCCAACAATATTTCCAGTTTATTTGCCAGCAAAATTCTCAATTAACTTCCCAAAGGCGAATAGAAAAGTAATTACCTTTATGACACAAAATCATTACTGGAGTCAACTCTTTCATTAGAATATTTGGTAGCATTCTATGTAAATCAAATCCAATCAATATATTTGTAAATATGTTTTCTTTCATTAATTAGTTTCCAGTTATGAGTTATATTGCAGATTTGCTTGCTCTTTGTATGTTTGTCTCTGTTGTAAGTTTGTTTCTTTTATTTATTGATACTTCTTGCACAAATGTATAATGGTGGACTTAATACCGTATGCATTTTCAATCAGTCAACGTTAGGGTGATGCCGAGACAAATACTTTGTGAGAATCAGTGGATGGCGTAGGTAGCTTCATTTACGGTGAATGACCTAAATCAACATGGATGTTCACCAGGATTCATGATATTAAAGTTGATAATAATTTTAACTTATTTTATGCATAAGTTTAAACTCATATAATTATATTGTTTTGTGTTTATTATTTGGTAGAAATTATTTAAAGCGATAATATTAAATTTTACATAAGGTGTTTGTGAATAAATTATTGTAAAAAGGACATTAATGTTACATCATCACTGCAGGGCTCAGGCCTTCATTTTAGATGGCTGAGGAGGATGGGCCATGGCCCTCCACACTAGGCCCAACATGGATTGGAGGGTATTAACGATTGCAAATGCGGCCGGAACCAACGGGTTATCGTGCCTTCCGAAGCAGATAGCACTTGTCGCACCCATCCCGTGATAGACCCTTGCGAAAGTTACCTAACAACAATGATCGCTGGCCGCGGCGCTTATCCACAACGCCACCTGCTCTAACGCTAATGTTACAAACAAAAGAATTATAGTACAATCGGTGACCTTATCGCTAATACAGCGATTTCTTCTTAGTAATCGTTACAGATTGGATAGCTTGTGTTATATTGAGTAACATAATGCGACCATTGAAGTCCTTTTATTTGGATGGGAAACTTAGCGTCTCGATTTTAAGAAGAAATCTTATTCATCGTTGTATTGTATGCTGAAGCGTGTGTGAATACTTTATTTTAGCTCCTATTTTAATTGTGGTGTGTATTGCTTATTAATATAACAAAAAGATTATCAATATAATTAAGGGTAATTATTAGAATTATTCATTATTAGAAGTATAAATTCTAATAATTATTTGAATTTAGACTTATATAAAATAAGTTAACACAATATCAATTTTAATATCTCGAATCCTGGGGAATGTCCATGTTAACATATACATGTTAAGTCATTCGCCCTAAATGTCATTTACCTATGCCGACCACTGGTGATAATAGACAATTGTACTAGTGTGAATATGTCAGAATAATGAAAATAACCTTTCTAATGAGAATAATATGGAGGATGGAGTTAAAATTATGCGTAATTAAGTATGCCACGTTTATATTTAGTTTAAAGAATTTATGCAAGTGGACAGGGATAACATCTAATATATAAAGCTTAGTAAAATAAATATGTCGTCTATTCGTTGGGGCGTGATGACAGCGCCAACTAGTGATTAAAATTATGAAATTAACACTGAATTTCAGATAGTACACATGGACTTTTTCATTGCCGATTTCACGGGAAATAAGTAAAGAAATTAACAAAAATCGAAAACACATCTCATTTATATCGAGAACAATCATTTGTGCATGTAGTGTCGTTAAAAATGCAGACTTATTGTATTTTTTCATTTTTATAGAAACTTGAATTTGAGCAATCACATACGGCACAGCTTATAACCAACAATCAAGAATAAAAGTAAATAATCAAATTTAGCGAAACAGTTTAAAATTGTAAAGATGATTAGGTAATGTGTTAAACATTCATAATTTATCGAATGAAATTGAATCATAATCATTTATTCAGTATAGGCTGTCAAAAGTATTTTTGAAAGTCGAGCTGCCTGTACGATGAAAACAATAAAACAATTGGATCTTTTTTCTTATATCAGTATTGATTTCATTAGAGTTATGTTTATTTCATTGTTAATCACTATATTACCTGAATAGTATAAAGAAAACCATGCCCTGCAGAGCGATTCTGAAAAAAACCGAACCCGAATTCGAATTCACTCATGCTTCAAAATTCAAGTACGTAATTTAGTAAAGAAATTCTATTGATTCAATTTTTTTGTATAAAAATTAGACGTGTCTCAGATATCCCTATGTCATTTTGAAACTTACTTCACTTATGCCACGAAACGCTATTACCAATTGAAGATCGAGCGGTAGCCGCTTTTTGAAATGAATTCAGACACCTGTGTGGATTCGAGTACGAGTTTGGATTTTTCAGAATCGCAGGTCTGTTTTGAGTTAAAAAGAAAATTTCGTTATGGCTCACTCGCTTACATATTACATATTATGTATTGGATGAGGAAGACGTTTGCCACACCAACAGATTTATAATGTTGATATCGGTATACATAGAAGTATTATATTTTTAAAGGTGGGGGGTTCAAGCTCCGTTACTATAGGAGGGCGCGGTAGAGTGGCAGCTATGATGTTGTCAAAGATGCAGAACAAAGTGGGAGGTATGTATGACTTCGATTTATATCACTATAACTAGCTTTCGCCAGCGGTTTCGCCTGCGTGGTCCCTAGGGGAATGTTTAGTCGGATAAAAAGTATCCTATTATTTAAGTCCGTTAATACCCTATCTGTATACCAAATTTCATCAAATTCTGTTCAGTAGGTACGGTGTGATTGACGGACAAACATCCAAATAAAGAAACTTTCACATTTAAAATATTAATAGGATAAATCGTCTTATTATTTGATAAAACTTTTAGAACTGAGCATTTGCAAAAAATATTCTGTAGACTTTACGGAAGAGTTTGTGTAAATGCACTAAGATCTAGAAGAAATGGTATGCTATAGCTTGATGCATCTAACGTTTAGTTTCGAAGATTATTTTTGCATTTGACAAATCAATTCTTGAGGTTTATCATAAACTAGTATAAAAACTTCAAAATTACAATGCCATTCTAAGGCTATCCTCACTTGGAGGCGTTGTCGTAAGAATTTTCTCGCGATTCGAAAAGTCAAATAAATATGTAAACTTTACGAACAGTTTGTCGGTGTGCCGGAGCTTAAGAAATGTTTATTAACAATCGGTCGATGCAAATCAGTCAAAGACCTCTTTTGAGTGCCATGATTTGTCAGTGAGTCGTCGCGGTCTCTCTTCGCACTGGCGGATTGTAATATTGTGCTGTTAATGTATGGGAGGTAGTCATACCTACGTACCTATATGTGCGTAAAGTTTCAATATCAGAACACGCGAGCGAGCTCAAAAATGCTTAATAACAATCGCTTGATGGGAATCAAAGTTAAAGACCACTTTTGAGTGTCGTGATTTGGCTAGTCGAGCATTGTGAAGCGAGCCACTGGCGAGTTAGGGCTGCCGTGATAAACAGTGTGATCTATTTTCTTCTTGAATAAATTATTTTCTCTTATTTTCAGGTGTGTCATTCAGTCCAGCTTCAGATGTCAGTCCTAGTCCATCAGTAGTGTCGAAAGGCGCAGGCAGAGGCTTAAAGTTATTGCAAAATTTGTGAGTATAATTTAGGGTTCTTTTTGTATTCTCTATAAAATTATCTGCATAAAGTTTCATTTTCGTATATTCATGTTTCTATTATGTTACTTTATAAAGCAACTTCAAATGTTCTTACGATATGGCTACTAAAACTGATAACTCTGTTATGAACTGAAACTGACTCTTAAGATATATTAAAATATAAACTCTTTATTATTTACATTAAGTTTATTATTATTTTTATCACGAATAATCTGTTAACTTTATAAATTTATACATTTGTTTCAGACAAGCAACAAAATCTTCGGACTCAGGTGGGCAAGGTGATATAAAACAAGTCACACAGAAGATGGCAGAGACCACTATATCTACAACAACTGCCCAAACCTCAACAATAGCTAAAAATAAATTTTATGTAAGTGGAGATCAATAATACCGTCTTTGATATGTATAATGTGAAATGTCTTTTTTAATTTGAGGCGTTCGGCAATGGTCGATTTCCAAGGGACAATCATAGGAGCGGTGATGAAAAATTTATTATCTCAAGCTCCTCCATGTTTCAGACATGTTAAGCAGTTGGTCTCAACTGAATCTGCAGTCGTTATACTGACCTCAGATTCAGATGGGAACTGCCCTGCGATTCTGTAATCCAAACCCGAATTCGAATTGACTCATATGTCTGAATCCATGTCATCAAGTGAAAATATTCCTAAGATATTCAAAACAAAATTGATTTATTATACGTATCTCAGATATTATATTCCTGTTATTTCTAAACTTCAGAGTGTTAGAGTGTAGTATGAATAAATTATTTTTCTAACGAATGTAAATCTGTTTTGTGTACCAAATTCAAAGATTGTCTTATTATGCCTATGAAGTGGCAAAGTGTAGTAATATATTGTTATATTTCAGAAAGAAGTCAAAGATACACCACCTGTGGTGATGAAAGGCGAAACAGGTACTCCAGTAGAAGTAACCGCCAATTTCATATACCTCAACTTTGAAGAGAATAATGTATTTGAGTATGAGGTCAAGTACGAGCCAGATCAAGACTATCGTCATCTTAGATTCAAACTCCTCAATGGTAAGTGTTTTTCTTTCTTTTACCTGTCTTGTTCTCTTAAAAACTGTGCCTATGGTGTCAAATTGCTACTGGCGATTTTAAGACTTATGTTATGTTTTAAAATATATTACAGACATATAATATTTTTGTTACCTGTGTGCTTAGTGTTGGATATGTACTTTGATAATCTACTCCTCAGAACACAATCATTACTTCAAAGAAAAGACATTTGACGGTACAACATTGTATGTGCCTCATCGACTGCCAGATGAAGCTGCAAATTTAGTATCGACAAATCCATTTGATAACAGCAAAGTGAATATATCTGTGAGTATTTTAAACTATACTGTTTAAGTCACTATACATTCGATTTGATTCTATACTAGTCATTTTTCCTGAGTATTTTAAACTATAATATTCAAGTCACTATACATTTGATTAAATTGTATACTAGCCGTTTTCCCTGAGTATTTTAAACTATACTTTTCAAGTTACTATACATTAGATTTAATTATATACTAGATGTTTTCCCGCGACTTCGTCCGTGTAAAGTTTAGCTTATGTCACCAGCATATGATGTAGCTTTCCATAGATCGGAGAATTTTCAAAGTTCAGGAGGCCTACTCGCTTTCTCGAAAACGAAATTTCGTTTACGAACGAAATTAAAACAAAATTTCGCATGTAACGCTACTCTTTATCATTTTCGTATACACCAACGAATGTTCTATTCCAAAGACAATTTTCGTGATTGATTGGAGTGAATGGCGTTATTGGATTTCTTATAATGTCAAATTCCGGTTTTTACCGTAACTTGAAATATATAATATTAAACAATACATATATTTCTTTTAAATAAAATTTTAGTGGCTAAACATTGTTTAAACATAAAATATTATAATAATACAACGAAAAACTTAGTATATTAATGAATTTTATTTTTCGTCACAACTGATCAAGACACTCTTAAGAACTCTTTTATCCATAGTATTAACCGACATATTTAAAAACAACCTTTCATTTATACGATGGCTATAATCAACGTATGGCAATCTTAAATATCCGTATAATACAAACGATTCTCATCCCGCCAAAAGTTTTACAAGTTTTCACCAAACTGTTCAGTGTTTACTTATATTTTATTTAATTATTGTGAGTTCCGAAATTTATCTTGACAATTCAGTAAAAAACTTTATAACTAACTTAAGTTTGAAACTAATATTTAGTTTTTCGGCACAAAAAAAGGTTTTAGCAATAAATTTACTTTTTATCAGTCATATTTTTCAGGTATAATGGCATAGCCTATATGCCTCGTAAAATCTGTAATATTAATGACATAATTCTATAGGTATTTATTCACAATTCATACATAAAGCCAAAATAAACAATAAACTATTAGGTACTCACTGTCTCTTAATAAGATTCCTTTCATTTTGCTTTTGAGGGAATAATATATTTTCTTATAATATCTATCTGGTGAATTGAGGACAGTCCTAACCTCCTAACACCGTGAAACTGTTTGTTGGGCCATAGGCCCATCCATGTTTTGAGATACGAATCATTGGTAACTACCTCGGGCATAAAAATTAAATGCTGTAAGTATCATAAAAATATGAAATGCATAATGGTAGGCATGCAATTTTTTTTATCAAGTACTACGATAAAATATCTTCCAACTTTAATTGTGGACTCGATGGCATGAGATCTTGCCTGTGGACGCAGTAAAGGTATAATCTCCTGGCATAGTTCTTGAACTAATTCACAACTGAGTCTGTAATTACTTACAAACTCAGTGTCGAGAATATTTCTTATATTAAGGCTATTTCGAAGCCGCCGCCGATTTCTTCTACGGTCTAATCGTTCTTTACTGAGAGCTGACTCGATTAATAATAATATAGACCCCATTTCGAAAATAAAAAATTGCAAACGAAAATGAAAAGGTAACATTTTTTACTTCGTCAATTTGAGGTAAGAATTCCGAACAATTAGATGTCAAACTCAAATGTTCGTTCCGTCATTTCGTGAAATAGAGTAGGTTTAGAAAATAAATATGTCAAACATTTTCGTTCGTTGAATATTCGGAACGAACGTAATTGTGGTAGGAAACGTCCGAAATTTCGAACGATATTTCGTTTTTCGGTAGGCTTCCAGGTCCAGTAGCAACTAGCGAGAAAATTGATTTTTATATATAATATTTGGATTAACATAATTTAGTGTTTTGTCTATATTTTAGTATGGCTCTGGTATATTTGTGTAGAGTAATTGCTTGAATTGTATTTGATCTTGGAAGAGACTAAAACATTTTTCTTTCACATAGATAATATTTCGTCGCACGCGTCGACTCAGCGAGATGATTCACATCTATAATGTACTGTTCAAACACATCATGAAGGATCTACAGCTCGTCAGATTTGGTCGTCAGCACTTTAACGAACACGCCGCAATACAGATTCCTCAACACAAGTTGGAAGTCTGGCCCGGGTATTTAGTATTATTATTTATTCTTAATAATTTTGTGTTCTTTTTGTGACCTCCGTTAACCAAAGCAGCGTTACTTTCGTCAAGGTCATCGCTTAGTATCATAGGGATGAGACAGCAGACTTACAAAATGGTTATTTATCGGACGTTATCTATCGGACGCTTTCTGAATTGAGAAAAGTACAAAATATCAAAGTTCAGAAACCAGGTAGTCAACCCCGCATGATTTAGTAACCCATAGGTGAAAGAATTTTTAATATATTGGTCCAGTAGTTTTGAGCCAATTTGATGTAAACAAACAAACAATTAAATATTTCCTATTTATAATAATAGTATAGATATTTACAAAGCTATAAACGACAATGCATTCATTGCTCCAATCCCAAAACACAAGCAAAACTTTATGATAGAAGTCTAAAAAAGCGACCCAGGTAACTAAATCGGGTGTTCGTCGCTATGATGAAAAACTGACTTATATCGTTTCTTTAACTTATATTAACAATTAATTTTATTTATAAAGATACGTAACTGCCGTTGACGAGTATGAGGGTGGTTTGATGTTGACTTTGGACTCTACCCATCGCGTGCTACGGACACAGTCGGTGCTATCCTTCATAAAAGAGTCGATACAGACTGAAGGTGCTAACTGGAAAAGGGCTATGGCAGAAAGACTGGTTGGATCTTCAGTGATGACCACCTACAACAAGAAATTGTTTCGGTTAGTCTTCAATTCAAAACTCATTATTATGTTCTACGGTTCTATAATATTCTATACGTACATATATATTTAGACAGGACATTTCAATTAATTTCCCTATTTGTAAAAACAACAATATACAGTGTCTGGCACGAAAGTAAACCCTACGAGTGAAAGTAAACAAAATAGATGTCGAAGGAGGTGAAGTGTGCGGGAGAAAAAAAAAATATTTTTAATTAATGGCGTTGCCCTTGTGGATTTCGCCAGAATCCAGTGTTTCGCTCAGTTTACTTCATATTTTAGTATTTTATAAACTCTGCTTTTTGTATGTTGGTGAAAGCCCAAGTTAAATTTTGAATATTGTTGAAGTTAAATTTTACCTACTTGAAAGGGACTTACATAACTTAAGTATTACCGATGTTAGAAAATTCTATGACAGACAAAAATTATTTATTTTAATATAATTACATAGAATGATTACAAAAGGGGAGTTAACATATTTTAACCATACTAACCGGGTCTGGTGTAATCCCGCGCTTGACGTTTCTCTACTAATTCATTTCCCGCCGTTTGAAAAACTTTTTTCATTGTTAGTACTGGACGGATTTTTATAGTTTTCAAAAACAGGGAGAGTAATCCCCGAGGAAGGTTTTAGTGTATAATAAGTATGTGTTTTGTGCAAAATGAAGATATTACGACGATATTAGTCCAACATGTCGGAAAAACTTAAGCCGCTCGGGAGCTTTTCTCGAAAACCCTGCCAAAACCGTTTGAGTTATAACAAAATAATGTATGATGGTGTTAAATAGTCCGTACGTCTCTTTTTTTTATTTGGTGTACAAATAATATTCATTTAAGAATAAGTCTTTTACTATAAACGAATTTTTAGTCCGATTATACCTGCGCAGTGGGCGCCATATTGGGTTTACTTTCGTGCCGGCCACTGTACTCTGTAAAAATAGTATCTTCAGAATATCTTAAAATTCAAACATATATGATCCTCATTTCGCAATTATGTGTATTTAAACAACAAAACTGCTTACGGTTTTGTTCTCGTATGTTCTTCTCTTATCAGTCTTATTGCTTGTACAAATAAAATTGTAAATGTGTTTATAATTTACTTAGACTGATTATAAAGTTCAAATTTACAGTGTTGACAGTATTGATGATACAATGACCCCAAGGTCAACATTTGAGAAGAATGATAAAGGTCAAATAATAAAGATCAGCTATATAGATTACTACAAGAAAAATTATGGTATTGATATCATGGATTGGGATCAGCCCATGCTCATATCGAGGTAAGATTAAAAACAATGTTCTTATAGTATATTTCAAATCCTCAAGTCATGGTTTGAATTTGCATCTGTAATATATATATATATATATATATATTTTAAATAATGTTTACTAATTCATTTACTTAATATGTAATGTCAATTAAAATAAACTACATACATTGGAAATTTTCGGTTGCAGTAATCCTATTACGGATGATAAAAATGCTGCAACTGCCTTTTCAATGATTTATATTTTTATATCAATGCTATGCAAAATACTAAGGCTATTTTAAAACTAGGGAAACAAAGAAAATGTCAGGTTCTGAAGCACCTACCGACTTCATGATATGCCTTGTTCCGGAGCTGTGCCAATTAACTGGTCTAACAGATGATCAGCGTTCCAACTTCAAACTGATGAAGGATGTCGCTACATACACCAGAATAACGCCTAACCAGAGACATGCTGCATTTAAAAAGGTTTGTTTATTAAAAAGGTCCATATCTCTTTTTATGTCTTAACTTTTAATGACCTAAGTTGTGTTATGTGAATAAAGCAAAGCATACTCATTGTACTTTTTTAGTTTAACTCGATAACAACAAGCAGCTACCTTATTTTAGTATTACTTTTCTTACAGTACATTCAAAACGTTATGGAAAATGAAACAGCCAAGAATCGGTTGAAAGGATGGGGTCTTAGCATTGCTCCTGAAACTATAAATATAACTGCTCGTACATTACCTCCGGAGACTTTGTTCTTTGGAAACAACGTGAAAGTGCCTGGTAAACCTACTGCGGAATGGAACGGTGACGTCACCAAGAATCCAGTCATGCAGGCTGTTGATATACTGAGGTGGTCCATATTGTACACAGACAGAGATAAACAAGTGACAATGGTAAGCATTGAATCGATTTTTATGTGTCATTTTTTAATGCATCGAAATGTTTTTCATATGTTCTTGAGAAAAATAGGAACTTTAAACAACTAGAATGAGCATCTCTCATTTTTTTTATATTTACACGAAAGAGCAAAATATGTTATGAAATGAAAATATCTTTATTCAAGTAGACCATTACAAGCAATTTATAATTGCACAAAAAAATTTTTTTCCCTACCGCTTGTTCAGGACGTCTTTTATTACATTTATAACTTCGTAAGTTATTAAGAAACTTTGCTAGTCTACAATTAAAATCTTGACTTGAATAGGATTTAATAAAGGTACTGAATCAGACCATCCTAATTAATTTTAACGATTTTATTTAACAACATACACGTTTCTTAAACTATAAAAAAAAAAACTTGCTTAATAAGTTTCGACTCTTATATGTAACTAGTCAGTTCAAGAAGGTTGTAAAGGATCACAATGTCCTTTTGTAAAATTATATAATTTATATCAACAATTATTTATATTTCGTAAAATTATATAATTTATATTTCATAAAATTATATAATTTATATTTCGTAAAGTTATATAATTTATATTTCGTAAAATTATATAATTTATATTTCGTAAAATTATATAATTTATATAATTAATTTATATTGTAACATAATTGATTTGTAGGATTTCTTGGATACACTGAAACGCTCGTGTCGGCCTATGGGTATAACTGTTTCAAATCCGGATATGGTACGTTTGCCTAACGATAGGACCGATTCTTATGTTATGGCATTGAAGAAATGCTTCTCCACGTCTCTACAATTGATCGTAGCTATCTGTCCCACGGCAAGGGATGATCGCTACGCCGCGATCAAGAAGATCTGTTGCGCTGACAATCCTGTGCCTTCTCAGGTAATACGTGTGTTTGTTAATGATCATAATGTAATTGTCAGGAAGCATAAATATTTGCTATGTACACATGTGTTTTTTTAGCATGGATATTCCGAAATTAGTTTTTTTTTCAATGAATTTATTTGTTCTTATATAATGTAGGTTGGTTCCTTTATCTAATGAACAAGATTACATAAAAACTGACACGGTTTTATTAAAACTATAGATAACTTTATAATAACCACGACAAAGGCATATCATTTTTAATATGTACTGACTTCATCTTTGATTGAGACAACTCTATATTGGTAGACCAATATAGAGTTGTTTCAATCAAAGATCTACATTTTAGAAGAGAAAAATTGTTAAAAATCAGTTTATTCTTCTTATAAGTTGTTGTTTTATTTGCACTCATTAAAGTTTAATTTAGTAACAAAATTATAAGGATTTTTTTTTACTAATATATAATGAAAAGAATGAATGATTACTAAACATAATAAAAACCGTACATTTCTGAATAGGTAATAAATGCGCGCACAATTATGAACCAGCAGAAGATACGTGCGATCACACAAAAGATTTTGCTGCAGATAAACTGCAAACTCGGTGGTACATTGTGGAATATCGCCATCCCATATAAGACTGCTATGATCATAGGCATTGATTCATATCATGATGCTAGCAGAAAGAAGCGAAGTGTATGCGGTGAGTATATTTATTCTATAGGTATATAATTTGTGATCAAATATTAGGCCAGTAGGTGTAATTGTAATATTAATAGCCACCCTTTTGATGTACAGTATACATAAAAGAGTATTAAATCTGTGCGCCTTTTAATTTATAATTTGTTAACGTCACAGATTAAGAGACGGTTACCATAAAAACCTTGCTACTACGAAAATATATTTCTTTCACCAGAGTGTAGAGATACTTGTAACGATTATGCGTTTTAGCATTATATTTAACACTAGTGGCAGTCAGCGACTTCGTCCGCGTTTTCCATTATTTCTTCGCTCCTAATAGTTGCAGCGTCATGTTATATAGCCTAAAGCCTTCCTCGATAAATGGTCTTTTCAACACGAAAAGATTTTTTCAATTCGAACCAGTACTTCCTGAGATTAGCGCCTTCCAACAAACAAACAAACTCTTCAGCTTTATAATAGGTATTAGTATAGGTATATAAAAGTAGCTCGGTGGCGTAGTGGATAAGCGCCGCGGCCCGCGATCGTAATCGTTAAGCAACTTTCGCAAGGGTCGGTCACGGGATGGGTGACCAAAAAATTATTATCTCGAGCTACTCCGTGCTTCGGAAGGCACGTTAAGCTGTGCGGTCCCGGCTGCATTTGCAGTCGTTAATACCCTCCAATCCGCATTGGGCCAGCGTGGAGGGTCATGGCCCATCCTCCTTAATCATCCATAAGGAAGGCCTGAGCCCCTGCAGTGGGGACGTAAAAGGGCTGGTGAAGTCATAGGTATATAAAAAGAAACTAATGATTTATATGTAAAAATTTGCAAATGTCGTTATTTCCATAAGGGCTGGTGAGTTTCTTTCGATTATTCTACTTACCAGAGAAACGACATCCTGAATCCGTGGTTTAAAAAATATTCCACCATTAAAATGTACTTTTTAAATAGTAAGTTTATTTGAACGAACTGACGATTGTCTGTTTGTTTATTCCAGCATTCGTGGCGTCATATAATCAAACTATGACGCACTGGTACTCTAAGGCGGTGTTCCAGGAGAGAGGACAGGAGATAGTGGATTCTCTCAAGTCCTGCCTCGTCGACTCGCTGAAGCATTACCTGAGGACCAATGGCAAACTGCCAGACAGGATTATTATTTACAGGTAAATCATGCTCATTTTATTATTAGATACGCTCCGAATATTCGTTAGGTATTCGGTATCTTTTTTATTATTGGTATTCGGCCGAATTATTCAGTTTTGGTGCCGAATATATTCGGTTCGAGCATTTTTATTTTCTTGTCTACACAACACTATATACACTAATAGACATAACTTCTTATGTAAGATTTATATTAGAAGTCAAAGAAGTCCTACAAATAATGTTTTTAATAAAACTAATATAATACGGCAATCAAACTTGAAATCGACATTTTTTTAAACCAGCTTATGCAGAAAGACAATGGTAAACTGAATAATTTTACTGAATATTTGGTTCGGTAAAGGTTATATCGAATAGTATTCGGTGCTACTATTTTGCTTCTCTGGTTATTATAAATGTGCAACATATAGTCATTGTAGTCGTACATGACACACTTTATTCCTTTCTTTATACTTTATGAAATTGGGGAATATAAATAATAGCTTTTGCCAATTTCTTGTCGCTTCTACTCATTTTAAGCGTGCTCGCCGAAGATACTTGCGAACGTAAGTTTATTTCTTATTAATCTTAAAATAGTCTGTATGCAAATAACATAATATACTAATAGATTTAAATATTAATAGAGTATTAAACTAATTATCGAAATTCCTTAAGTGTGCATTAAAAATACTTTATTAGTACACCCATATTTTTCTTGTCTTAAATATATCTTGCTGTTTGTACATTACCATACAAAATGAAAAGTGAATTCACTGTTAAAGTTACTCTCGACTGTGACAGCAAAATATAAAAAGGAGAATAAACTTGTTGCGTTTCTTGCCGGTTATTCTCAGTATGTGTTATCTTATGCCCCTTTAACCTATACCCTCAGTAGTGTTAGTAAGAGTTGGAAGTTTTTCTAATTTCACATTTTTTTTGTTTTGTTTCATCTCGCAGAGATGGCGTTGGTGATGGTCAGTTGAAACTGGTCAAACAGTACGAGATCCCTCAGCTGGAGGTTTGCTTCTCCCTCGTCGGTGTAACGTATAAACCCACGTTGACATATGTGGTCGTGCAAAAACGTATCAACACACGTATCTTCATGAAAGCGGGAAGGGGTTACGAGAACCCCCATCCGGGCACGGTAGTTGATCACGACATCACGAGACGCGATTGGTGAGTGTGACAAATTATGATTAAATTATCATCATCTGTCAAAATTCTGTCTTAACAACAAACTCATTTTGTATAACAATAAATTGAAACCTATATGAATCTATGGTCTTCAATTCTGGGGTGTAACTAGTAATAAATGTATCTTCAAAGAACCTAAAATGGAATCCTCGGAAACACCGTAAATGCAAAATACACTTAGTATCTGAACATCCCCATTGTACTAGAAGAAATTCAAAATTATAGGAAACAATACTCTCAAAGACTCCCTATTCACCCAAACTCATTGGCTACAGAGTTATCGAATAATGTGGGATTAGTCAACCGGCTTAAGATGAGCAATTTAGTGGGACAGCTGTAGGGATGGCCTCATTTCCCTAAATGGCAATCCCATCTCAAAGTATCAGGGACAAATTGGATTTTTTAGGCATTTTTATTAAGAATCATTTTCAGTATAGCATAAAACAATTTCTTGCTGAAATTTTTTAATAACAATAAATATGCTGAGATCCAGCACAATTTTACTTATTTAGTTACGATATTATACGTAGGAGGTATATTCAAATAAAAGTTTAAACTGACAATCCAACGTTTGATCCACAGGTATGACTTCCTTATCGTCTCGCAGAAAGTCAACCAAGGTACAGTGACGCCCACACATTACGTAGTAGTTCACGATGACAGCGGGATGACACCCGATCAGTGTCAACGGCTCACTTACAAAATGTGCCATTTGTATTATAATTGGCCTGGCACTGTAAGAGTCCCAGCACCATGCCAGTATGCCCATAAATTGGCATACTTGGTAGGACAGAATATCCATCAGCAGCCATCGGAGTTGTTGTCCGACAAATTATTCTTTTTATAAAAAGAAAATACGTTTATACCTTGTAGTATTTAGATTAGAATAAGGCTAAGTTCATATGATTGCAAACAATTCATGTATACTTGTATATTTTATATGTGTACTAAAATTTCCGAGTCTGATTTGACAGTTAAATTCAGTTACTTTGACTCTTAAACAGAGATATGAATAAATGCTGGTCTATTGTGTAGATATTCACTATTTACTTAAATGTATTAGTGGAGAGAACTGTACGTATAGCTCGGTCACAGAACAGAGAGAATTTTGTACAATGACCCGGCATTACATATCTCTCTCACTCGCGCGCAAACATATTTCTATTGCGTTCGCACAGACGCATGTAGACAACTTTTTCACAGTAATGTGAACCTAAAGTGGTTACAATATCTATCAGTAGGCAACTTACGAATTTTTTTTGTCTGGCATGCGTGTTATTGTATTATGTATTTTAAACATTACTAAAGTACTAAACATTATTGTCCTCCATGTAACCGTCTTTATTTACTTTACGAAGTGTACTAAGAATAGATTGAATATTTTACTGTACTAGTTATACAGTGATATTGAAGTCATGTGAACTTAACCTAACGCTATTTTTAGGAAACTGAACAAATTTAAACATAACGAACCTTTGGTTCTTCTATTTTTGTACGTTCCATTTAACAATAGTGATTATTGTTTAATTATTTGTCGTTGTTTAGTTGTAAGATGTTCTTATATTTAAGATTGTTTGCATCATGCGTGGAATGAGAATAGTTGATTAGAATGAAACTGTAAATAGATAAGTCGATAGTTGTATATTGACATATCCGATTCTTAAGCGCACGGTGAAAACGTATATAACGTGTTTAGAATACTAATTACGTTTTGTAAGAAAATTTTATTATAGTCAGCTCGGCACGGTGAATGAACATAAATAGGGACGTATTCATGCTCATTTACCCTAAGTTTGCAATTTTATTTTAGCTGTGCGATATTATTCTTGTAAGGTCACTCACTTCCAATTTATTTTATAATAATAATAGCATTATTGAGTGCTAGTCATGTGGAAGCTAATCTGAATAGCTAGTCGTAGAAGACTTTTTGTTAGTTTGAGGGTTATGACAGTTGTCACTTGGTAATGACTAAAGCATGATTGTTAATCAATTAAAACTTAAATATCAGTGGTGTTATCTTTCGGTCACTTACTTTAACACAATAAGTTAATTTAATAATGGTCTGTGGTTAGACTCAAAATGATTATGATTAACTGATTGTTTATATAAAATTATTCATTAAATAACATATTAAAATCGTTTAACGTGTTGTTTTTGGTAAATCCATGTAGAAAGATAGAATTGGTAATTCAAAATTGTTTGGTTGAATGAATGTATTTAAATCGTGTAATGGTCTCCTCCGTCAAGTGTGCAGTGTGGTGACGCAAAGTGCCATTATAGTTAAGAAGAAGACTAATTTTTTAATTTACGTTTGACTAATTTTCTATTATCGACTAAAAAATATATAAAAAAAATAACTGGTTGACTATTCTTCTTCTTTTTTTATTAATGGCTTATCTGCGTGTTTCGCACAATTCTGCCAATGTCAAGTGATCAAATTAGTTAAATTAAAATATGTTAATTTAATTTTACATTATATGTAAAATGAAAATAAACGAATGAAAGATGGCGATGAATCTCCGCATGCTCTAGTCATTACCAAGTAGACAGCTGTCATAATCCTTGACTTAATTAGCGTAGATTTTCCGATTAGCTCCCGTTCATATCGAGCACATTTTTTTTTGTATTGTCGATATATTTGCACATTTGTGTTCGATACTAATACGATTCGCATTCTGTGATTTATCCTGGTAAGGTTTCTGTGTGCATTATTACTTCAATACATAGTTATCGTAATACGTACTACTATATTGCTTCACAGTGTCGTTAGTGAGCTAATAAAATTTGTATGGTTACGTTGTTTTGAAAAACTATTTCATTTAATTCTTGCTCAAATGTTATTTTGAAACGGGATTAGATCAATTATATATTAATACAATAAATTGTCACTTTATAGTGGACATGGAGAATTCATGAAGTGTGTACTTATTAGTTTCCCTGCTTCGTTGGTGAAATAATAATTATAGATAACATAGCTATCGATTATTTATATTTCCACGTGCACCATCCATAAATGAAACGACTTTTAAACGGTTTCATAGCGTTTGTATTTAGTTATATTGACGTTTCGGACCTTTTACAAGTTCCGTGTTCACGTAAGACTAATAAGTGTTAGTTTTGCTGTCACGTTCAGGATACGAATCAATTTACCTTACTTATAAACTTTTACTCTTTGTTCGCCAGATTTTCTAGACTTATTTTTGGCTATACTTGACCGTTTAGTAGACTTACGTAGATTTGGCATATTCGTACTGTTTTATGATCTATCCGAACGCAAATAACTATCATATATTGTTTCTACCTTATTTGCTTTATAGCGTATTTAAAGAATTTTAAAATTTGGTTGTCTTTTTTATTATAAATGATGTGCTTTTTGAACGAAAAGTCGTAATGATAAATTTTAATTATTAAATCTGCTTGTAAAAAGTCGTAATAGCGTATATTTATTACCTTGTTGAATTCTTTGACCGAATTTTTTGCGTATTAGCCGCTAGAATTATTAATTTGATAGCATTTCAATCGTAGCCATAGGCGAACGAAACTGATTTTATTAAACCTCGCAAATAATTTGTTGACATACATATTTCGATTCGTACAGCACGCGTAGCATGACGTACTCGAGAACGTTTCATTTAAACCAGTATTACTTTTCTCGGGTGCGATATAATTCCAAGTGACATGTGGTGGTGACAAGGCGTTTCTCGAGTTTGTCATACTACAAATGCTGGTGTACGGTTCTAAAATTTCTTAGGTATTTAGCCGTTTACGACGCGTTTCATTCGTGTGTAACGCTTTTGAGTTTACGGACAAAATACATTGTGCCACTTGATTTTTTTCACATCGCTCGCCACCGACCGGTCACGTCACTTCTTTGCACTTTTAATTTATTAATAATTTCTGGAGACAGATTCGTATTCTACCAGTGACAGCAAAATTTAATGTAGGGTAGTGGTAGGAGAAAAAAAATTTTTTTGGACGATTCAGAAGTGCTTGTTATAGCCTACTTGAATAAAGATATTTTCATTTCATTTCAATGATCCTACTTTTTATGAGTTCAGCATTAGAAATATTTCCTCTTAAAATGGTTACTGAAGTAACTTGATTATGTGATATTTGCTTAGTGTTTACGAGATATTGAGAATATATAGTATATATTTTGTGTAAAAATATATCTAAAGAATCTATATCTTATTAAGCTGATGCATTCATCCGAGTAATGTTTGTTATATTTCTAAAATGATGGGATATAACTATGAAATATTTTTCGATATTTTGTATCAATATATGTTTTGTTGAACTCAGAATGTTCCAATTATCTTGAGATATAAAATAAGGGTGTTTTACACAGATAAGTACTAGGCAGCCCAGCTTTATTAGGAACGCTTCTTGTGCTTTCACGTATGCGAGGGTTTTCTTGAGGTTACAAGATAAGCCGTTGTATCTTGCCCGACAGTTGGTCACTCCATTGTATTCCAGAAGCATGTGAACGGCTGTTTTTCTACTGCCTCCATGACGTCCATGACACCTAGTTTCAATAGGTGCCCGTTAAAATTGTCATGACCAGATAAGCATCTCCTAATGGGCGTATTAATGGATTACTCTTTGTATCTCCAAGATGTGCCAGTCCGCTTGATATAGTTTATTCCAGTGTTCTTTTTCTTTCAGTGTTCTTGCTCTTCGGGATGGGAAAAATCGACTCTGGGCCTGTTGAGCCGAACCTCTGCTGAATATATTTAGGATTTGTTTGGTTGTGATTTCCTATTCTTGATTTGGTTTTCCCTAGCTGGGAACGTGTTACTGTTTAAGGCAATGAGATATTGTTCATTAATAATTATTGGTCGATAAATATTAATCATCCACTGATAATAATTAACCTGTCGTGCTCGCGGCGCGAATACTGTGCCGTCTGAAACCAGGAGTAGGAGCGGTAGGAGTTACAGCGTTTAATGGTTTAGATTTTTCGTACTTAGTGCCAAAAATGGCTTAGAAACAGCAAAAAAAAATATAGTGTGGGAAATTAACTATTACCTTAAATTGTTTACGAGTAATGAGAAAAAAGAACATAAAAACCTTAAATCTTAATTCCATCAAAATGTGGAATTTTTAGCTACAGCGTTTTGCTATTTGACGGTACAACTGCTACTCGATATTTTGTTGGAAAATCGTTGGGCTACCGTTCTTGTTATCACCAGTTTACGCCACTATTTAGCAGGATACTATCAGTACGCGTAGCATAAAGACGGCGAGACTGGAGAAACTGGTCGAGGATAAGATATTGGTAGCTATTCTGTTTGCACGAACTTTACTAAATATAGGTTTAGTGATATAATTTATAAATATCACTAAGATAACAAAAGTACACTAATTATAAAATAGTATACCGGAGTATAATTATATTTCTTTGATTTCATGTGATCAAAACAAACCCAATTTATATATGAAATTTTGCCCTTTAGAGAGTCCAACTGACAGTGGTGCAACATATTCACACGATAAGTTTAAAATACACATATCTGGGTGTAGGTATCACGTTTCTCGCTCGATAGCGCAGTGGTTAGAGCTCTCGGTTTGCGATAACGTTGTTAAGCAACTTTCGCAATGGCGGGTCATAGGATGGGTGATCAAAAATGTATGATCTCGAGTTCTTCCGTGCTTTGGAAGGCACGTTAAGCCGGGACCAATCCTGGCTACATCTGCCGTTGTAGACTTCATTAATCCGCACCGGGCCATTGGGTCGTGGCCCATTCTCCCTATTCAATTTTAGTAACATCCATATTGAAGGGTGATGTAACGTTTCTCTAGTTGATCATGCTACGCGCACAAGTCTATTGCCGTTTCTCTATATGGTATTATTAAGAAATATTTTATTAAAATACAATTAATCCTATCCTATCATAATATTCAGACTTATTCTTAGCTCTTACTAATATTAAACGAATTTGTGCATACTTTCTATTTATTGCGCTAATAAAATGTTGTCGTTATTTGCAAATAAAATATATCACTAGTTTACTGAAATACGGTTGATTATAATGTCGATTAGACAAAGAGCCGTGCGTGTAATATCTAAATCTAATATGGCTCATTTACACTGGCCAATTGGGGACAGTACGCGGAGTGCAGGCAATCTCTGGGCGCTTATGTCATTGGTCAATAAAACTGAACGCTCAATGAAAGCGAGGAACAGAAATCGCGCGCGCAGCACGCGTAGAATCGACAGTGTAAATACGCCAATAAAGCAAATAAATGACGTACGGTAGTGACAAAGACAGAATGCCTTAGGTCAGTTGCACAAACGTCCATAAGGATTTAATGACGTCTTTTAAGCTCTAATGAATGTCAAATTTGTATGGGTAATGGCGCTTTAAACGATTGACAATTTTAATGGACGTTTTTACAACCGGCTTTTTCACAATGTTATTTTAATTACGATTTATAATCAAATTAAGGGTCTGCTTGCCTCCTAAACCTGCAGCGCCTAATTTAAGAGTTTCGCTCTCAAGCAGCTGATTAAGTATAATTAATGGCTTTAGTTTTAAGTTACCTATCTAAGATTAACAAAACTCATCGCCAGTTGCACAAACGTCCATTAAGATTTAATGACGAGTTAAAGCTCTAACGAATGTTCAAAATTTGAAAATTTGTTTCGTTAATGTCCCTTTAAAAACTGTTGAGAAATTGAATGACGTTTGTGCAACGGGCAGTAAAGTGCACAAACGATCTTTTACGTTTAATGACGATTTTAAGCACTAATTTGTATTTGAGTCTGTAATATCGCTTTGAACTAATGACAGTTTTAATGGAAGTTTCTGCAATTGGGCGTAAGTCAATAAATTGATGTGTTCAATTTTATATTTCACAGATTATATTAGAATCTCATCACTTTGATCGAGTGATTCTTAATAATTAAACATTGTATATTTTTATTAAGTAGAACTTACTATTCTTAATTTGTACGCGCCCTCTTAAGTGTAACCTGAAACGTTGAACACAACGTTAATTGTATATAGTTTGGGATATGCGATATTTAATGGTTTCGTTGGTGCAATTGGCTAGTGCAAAGACCTGCCATTTGTTTTCTCCAAATCGCAGCTCCTCTGATATTTTTTTCTAAATATTTTTAATTACTTTTGCATTCACTGTTCTTTAAAGTTTAAATATTTTGTCAGTAATTTTCTTATATTATAATAATATTTTAGTGACTAAATCTCCAATGATTGTGACAAAATAAAAAGTGGTTAGCTATTCGTTCATGCCTTTATATATATTTAGTAAATCAACTACAGAGTTTTCGATTATTTTGGATACATCCCTACAGTGCTACTTATAAACAAGGTTTAGCGTTTTAGTAAAGTTTACGCTGAAATTGTAGTCATAGTCAATATAATCTTTATTCAAATAGACTTCTTAAAAGTACTTATAAATCGTCCAACATTTTTTCCCTACCACTCGTTCAGGACGTCTTTTGGCTGATAAGAAGAACGAGCAAGAAACTCACCAGCTCTAATAAGAGTAATGACATTTACAAAAACCATGTCATTACCAGATCAATACATTATAAGCAGAGGTAAAAAAAAAAACAACTATGGTCTTATAATAATAACATAATAATGGAAACAAGATAATGAGTTTAGAAGTAATCACCTATCCAGTTGCTGGATCATCTCAAGTCCAAGCGTTATTTTAGTATTAGTCCATATTCAAATTACACAGAGAATAAGTAAATCTACTACCTTCTAGGAGCAAATATTACTCCCATAGAACCTTAACTTTGTTAAGTCTCTGTTTAATAATATGAATTTTGACTAATACGAAGAGCAGTCTTAGCGTAAATTTACTCCAACGCTAAACCTTGTTTAGAAGTGCTGCTAGTGTTTAAAAATACAACGGGTCAACAGACTTAACTTTGTA